TCTCAGTCAGGCTTTTTATTTGGAAAAGCAGTTCTGGCCCAAGCCTTGGGGTGTACCATATCATTGAAGGCATGCTCTTGTAGCAACTTTTTTGGTTTCTACGAATACTTTGTGGTGCTCCTCTTCTGAGGGACCCTGTAGGATTGGCACTGTGAGGATTTTTTGGTCAGAGTTGGGCACAGGGGCCATAACATGAGTGACCAAAATAGTGCATTGGTTTTTCCCTTTTATGCAAATCCGCACCCAAGATAGGATGACTTGGGCTACTTGTAGCCAGGAGTCAGGATAGAGAAACTGGTGGGGATGACATCGGGTACAAGTAACCATATTGTACATGGCCCAAACGGTCAGAAGGTGCAGAGTTCCATCTGGCAGCCATCCCACCTTAAAAAAAGTCAATTCCATCTCATAGAGGGATTTTAACATCTCTGGTTCCAATTTAACTCTATAATTACTAGAGAAGTTCTTTTAAAACCTAGCATACAGTCCAGCACAGTAGGCTTGGAAGACTCAGAATGAGATTTTCCAATCGTATCCCAAATTTCTCCGACTTAACCAATTATTAAATACCTGCACTTCCCAAAAGGCACAGGAGATCATTGGTCAGAGGAAACTTTTGAGTAGATGAAAAATGTTGCCAGACAGTGCAGCATGTGTAGAGGGTTTTGTTTTACATAAATTGTGAGAGTTTGTTTTATACATTGATATATATTTTATAAACAAACAAAAACTGATCAACAAATTTCCCAAAATAGAACAAAACATTCTTATTGTTAGAAGTTTAAGAGTTTAACTATTTGAAAAAAACAAAACAAAACAAAACAAAACAAAAACCTTTAGAAGGCAGAAACAAAAACCTCAAAGCAATTCCCATGAACAGAAAGTCCTGGGCACCCTAGAGATGAGAAAGGATTAATTTAGTGTCAGCATTAAATAGAAGCTGCTGTTATAAGGGCTACAAGGTCATTTAAAGTCACCAAGTTGCTATGGGGACTGAGCTACAAAGTCATCACAGACTGTAAGTTTTCTTCAACATTCTTTGATAATCCATATTAGTATTTTTTGGGGGAGGGGGAAGCGTTTTTGCTCTAGGGCACGTGCGCTCACCAGAAATATATAGAGACAAAAAGTGAGAAATCACCCTCCAGTATATAGAGACAAAAAGTGGGAAATCACCCTCCAGGGGGGATGGCCATGCCACAGTCCCTTCTCCTCCATTCTCCTCTTGAGATCTTGGGTACGCACACATATGCGCCCAGCATGAGTTTAAGCCACAGGGTCTGGGACTTGAACCATAGTCCACTACATGGGAGTCCTGTGGCATACCCTTTACTCCAATTGCTGGTCCCCATATTAGTGTTTTCAAAGGCTAGTTGTTTTTAGAATTGCCTCAGCCTCTACATTCTTTACCTGCCTTTGTAAAGATTTTTGCAACCCATCTTCAAATGCATCACAGTCAGGAGGAGCTCCTGTCCCAGTTTTTAGAGACAGAACTTGTGACCTGACATCTAGTCTACCTATCCATCTCTAAAGAGAAAGCCCTCCCAACTGCCCCTGTGTCTCCCTGCTTGTGAATGATGCCGCAAAACAGACAAAGGATGGGTGTCCACCCCAAGGGGGAGACCATTCAGGCATCCATTTGGCCATGTCCCTTGCGAGCTCTGTGTGTTTCCTTGGCAATAAACAATTGGTTATAGAACCTCCATCAGATTATACATGTAGAGAGGGAAGGGGGTTCCTCAGTGTGTAATTCTGCCATTTAGCCTTTCTGGAAACACCACGGAAATGCAGATTTAAATAAAATCAATCATGTCCTGTAGTGCAATGCACGGTGGGACTATAAACATATTCACTCATCATATTCATATTTATTTGGAGGTTATGCATTCCCTCCCCATACCAACCAAAGACAGATGAGCCCTGACTGCTGGCCCTGTGACCGAGGGAGAGTGTATGGGTCCTCTCTTCCACTCGTACTGAGTGGGACTAACTGATAGGACTCTACAACAGATCCCTGGGGCTTACTAGATTACCAGAGTTGGCCACAGATGATGCATCAATGTCCAGAACGGGAGTTTGTCCTTCTCTCCAATTAGAGTACAATGAGCCAGGAATGTTTGGCCTCAGGGCAGGCATCCCTGTTGAGAGATCTTGTCAAACGAGATGGGGTGTACCTATCTCTCCACATCACAGTCCCATCCTGGGGAAAAATGCCCTGGGATGTGTGGCACAAAAGGCCAGGCCGATTTTGCTTCCTGGCCAATGTACCAAATGTTTCTGGAAAACAGATGCCAAGGAAGGAAAAAACAGCACTCTGGAGGGGAAAAAAGTAGAACTTTCTTATATTTCCACTAGTGGGGCACAGAGGAGTTAACACCCTGAATCTCTGGGCCCCTGTGGTAGTTAAGCACAGTCTTTTATGGGTGAATTGGGGAGGGGCAGTTTCAGCATGCTTGGAGTGTCCTATCAGGATGGGCCTCAGTGTCTGCCCTAACATAGAGCCGGCAGAGAAGCAGAGAATCAAGGTCTCTGAACAGCTAAGGGGAGGGGCAACTAACTCAAAGGGGACCAGAATGCCTAGGTAGCTACCAGCCCTGAACACTTCAAGGCCACACACAAGTTTCTCTATATCAGAACAGAAAGTTCAGACAATTATAAGACTTGAATTGCTCCATATCATAGATTCATCTGCTATAGCAAATTAAGAAAAATATAAACATATAATTTTAAGGAGGAAGAGAATTTTAACCTAAGTTCCACAAAAACATACTGTAAGAAAAACACAAAAGATTGCAATGAAGATGTTTAGGAGTTGAAAATAATGTAGCAGATCCCAGATGTCTGGTAGTAAAAATTAGACTGTTATAGTAAAATAGTATATAAATTTTGCATGCTTTCTTTTCTAATGAAACTGATTAGGGACCCTCAAATGGGTTTGACTTTCAGATTTCCCAGTCTGTTGAGAAAAATAGAAATTTTTCCTGAACTGAAGATTAATAGGAGTTGAAATAAAATAACAGGAACTGCCTCACTTAACAAGTTCTGTTCCTATGACAAAATAATTAAGTGAATTGGACAATGAGGGAGGAGCTTAAAGACAGACATCTTGTGGTGTGCTATAGTGCCATAGAGTACATACTGTTCCAAAATAACACAATTCTCCACACAAGAATAATGTAATTCTAGTCATACAGAAAGCATATGTTAGATAAGCACCAGAAAGACCAAACAAGACATAGTAGAAAACTATAATGTATGTGTGTGTGTATATATATATATATATATATAGTGCAATCATTTTTATTTATTCTGAATATTACTGTCAGTGTTCAATAAAGTACAAACTTATAAATAAAGTGTACAGTTTGGAATGACTGCAAGAGCTTCATGTAGTGAATAATAATCAACCTCAGGAAGGAGCCAACAACTGAGAAAAGGGATTTCCCAAGACTCATATACAATGAGAAAGGAGATACTCCCTCACCCATCCCCACACCAGAATAAGCCTGAGTGGTTATTAAACAGGTAGATTTAAACATATAATTATCTGTCGTTTGGATTGGAGGTCCGTTTAAGTTTTAATAGCCAAATAAGCTTGAGACCCCAGAGTTTGATTTCCTCTACCCTGTATCAGGAGGTATTCAAAAGTCTATTTTACTTTATCTTAAAGAAAACTACCTTCAAATTGTAAAAAATTGACAGATGTGTCCCATTACCTCTTTTCTGTTATAATGCTCCCAAACTCAGAGTGTAAAATTGTATGCATTATTATAATGGACCAACATGGATTCTTCCCAAAGAGTTTGTAAATTGTGTTCCCCTTGGCCTTTCTTTTTGTTTTAAAAATTAGTTCGTCAACTGCCCGAAGCAGAGGGTAGTTAAAACAAAGTTTAAATAAACATTATGACTATTGGCTATGAGTCAGGGCCATACAAGAATCTAAAAAATACCCCGCAGGAAGGAAAAAATAAGATTATAACTTAAATTCAGATATTTTTCAAGATGGAAACTGCTAGATAAGAGTTCATAGACCCCAGACTGGATGATGCCTGAAATCTGATAATTGCCTCTCCCAGAATAGAAATCGATTGGTGGGGCTTGTACCAGCAGATGGCACAATGATTACGTTGCTAGACTCTTACATAGTCGACCACAGTTTTAGTTCTAGACCGGGCAACTTAAAACTCATGCCAGGTGCATATACATGCGTGCCCAAAATCCCGAGAGGAGAAAGGAGGAAAAAGTAATGTGCTATGACCATCTCCCTTAGGGGGGTGAGTTCTCACTTTATGTCTCTTTGTCTCTCTCTGTATCTCTGGCAAGCACATGCACTCTATAGTAAAAACAATTCTCTTAAAAAAAGAAATATGCAGGGTCAGCAGTTGGCATAATGGCTATGTCAAAAATTCTCTTAAAAAAAGAAATATGAAGGGTCAGCAGTTGGCATAATGGCTATGTCAGTGGATTCCCATGTAGTTGACCACCCACGGTTCGAGTCCTGGACTTGGTGGCTTAAAACTCACATCGGGCACACGTGCATACATGCCTAAGATTCCAAGAAGAGAATGCAAGAGAAGGAATTGTGGTGTGGCCATCCTCCTTGGGGGATGATTTCTCACTTTCTGTCTCTCTCTGTGTCTTTCTGGCAAGCGCACGCGCCCTGTAGCAAAAACCTCTCAAGAAGCAAAATCTTCTCCAAAAAAAAAAAAAAAGAAAAGAAAAGAAATACGCATAGTCAGAGGAGGCCAGAAGGTGGCAGAGTGGTTCAGGCATTAAACTCCCACATGGCTGACCATGATTTCCAGACTTGGCAGCTTGAAAATAACAGTGGGCATATGTGTGCCCAAAATCCCAGGAGGTGAAGGACCCTGGCATACCTCCCCCCGGGGGATGATTTGTCACTTTTCCTTTCATTGTGTGTCTCTCTAAAGCAAGTGCACATGCCCTATGACAAAAACAAGGCAACAAAAAAAACAGATTATTGGAAAACTTCAGGGAAAATGGGCCTTTTCAGCATTAGCTGCCTGCTTTCCTGCTTTGCACAGGGCAGCAAATCTGTACTTTCCTTCACCACACCTCAAGTCTACAGTTTGGTTAGTGGCATAGCTAAGGAGGAGTAGTTAGTGGACAGGCAAACTTGTTTTGACTTTGCTAACAAGAATGTGAAAGAGCAACATTTTATGAGTTCTTTAGATAATCAGCTTCACCAGTTCTACGTTTATATTATACTCTTTCAATTTTCATTGTATTTTAACGATGTTTCTATCAACTAAAAATTTTGCCCAAAATAGATACTCAACAGGCACTCAAATAAAACACTTGAATGACCCATTTAACATCTTTTTGCTATTTTAAACATCTGCTCATATTTACATGTAATTAGATCAGATTACCTACTGAACATTTATTTCACATTAAAATAGAATAATGTAGACAATATGAAACTAAAAATATTTGTAAGACTGTCATTTCCTCACTGTTTTTTGCATTAGATACCTCTCTCATATTAAATGTGTTGAAAAAAAAATTTCAAGTTACATAATTAAAATCAACTTCAGGGTGCACTCATCATTACCAACTGTCTCCAGAGACATTTTAATTTCCCACAAGAATCCCCTGTGAATATTTTGAGAAAAAAAATAATAAAAACATCCATTTTAAAGAGATTATTTTAAAAACCAAATTTCTCTCTGAAAGATGAAAGAAAGCGAAAACAACACATCTCCCTTTAACAAAAGTTACTGAGAGTGGAGTATGAAGGCATGTTAGCAGACTTTTCTAGCAGAGACAGGACTTTGCAATTTCTACAGAAATTTTGAGAAACAATAGCTATTAAATGCCTGCCTTGGGGTCTTGTGTTTGGGATAGTCTTTTTTGTTTCAAGGAAGTTCTCCCCCACAGTTTTCATTCCTATGCCAGGAATGATGCTCATTTGCTTTCCATAGGTAATACTTTTTGATTCAAGCCCTCTTTTTCTCAGTAACCAAGAGGTTCACTTAATTAACAAGCAGGATATTCACCTTTATCCCTTCTAGTTGCCTGTTTCACTGTAAGTATTGCCCTAATTCTGACCAGGGTCTCACCTTTTACTTTATTTCTTTCATTCTTATTTTCCTTTTCTTTCCTTATTTTCCTCTTTTTCTTTCATTCTGATTTCCATCTCTCCATTCTTTGCTCCCTTTACTAATTCTCTGCCTCACTCCTCTTTCACTTCGTTTTTTCTTTTTTGAGACTTATTCACAACTCAGGAAAGTTTGCTTTGCTCTGAACTCTTCCTCTTTAACTAGTTGGAAAGTGTACATTTTGCTGTCTATCCATTTCCATGGCCTCTTGCTTTTGGTCTATACAACAAATTAGCACAAAGAATGTGTTTAATGATGAAAACTTTGGTAGTACTACCTGAGTTTCAGACTTTCCAACTTTTACCACTGACTGGGACACCCAGATTTCTCACTGTGTCTCCTATTCTTTTCTGGATCACCAGTTGCAGAACCTCTTGGATTCTTTGACATGGTCTGCTTATAGCACCCTCTGGCAGCAAGTGGGATTATGTCACCTTCCCAAGAGGGACTCCCCCACTTCAGGAATAGGTTTTCCATTGGGCTCATTACTACAGTACATTGCATCCCACTGCATATGACCAGGATCATCTAGTCGAACTCCACCTACTCATTGTATAGGTAGGTCATTATGTAAGAAAATATGAGGTAGGAAACAGATAAGTCTATGAAATGTTTTAAAAAATAAATCATCAAATATTGAAACCCATTAAACTAATGACAAATCTATTTCTAACCCATTTATAACTTAGATCACTTAAATTTGGTTCTAAGACCAAACTTAAGAAGCTCTTTTATAAAGTACTAAATCATTATTACATTTATTCATTAAAAAAGTTTGAAAATTTTTCATGAGTGTGTAAATTTTGTGTTTGTTTCTTTAGGATTATATCAATTTTGTGTTGTTAGGATTATATCAATATTGTGTTGTTGGACCTAATTAGCTAGATTATTAATTCTTTAAATAGTTGTTGAGTATAAAACGACCAGCACCTCAAAGAATGTTGCTTTGATATGCTGAGAACTTGGAAGCAGAATCAAGCTCTATGTGATCTTATTTTTTTCTACACTACTGTGAGAGCAAAGAGGAGCTTTCTTGAATAACTTTCTTTCCAATAAAAGAAAGAATTTCTTTCCAATAGAAATGGAATTGTCTTAAAACTCATCCCTAGATCTAATCAAGCAACCAGAGATAAGGAAACTGAAAGGTCTCCCTCCACACACAAGATCCATACTTCTCCCAGGTCACCTGAGAATGATTAGCTAAGAACTCTTACCCACGTAAGACAATATTAGTTCCCATGTTGTTTTCCACCTGTCCCCCACCTCTCTGTCACTGCTGGTCTCATTGGCTTCCAAAGAGAACCACGTATGAACAATTGTCTGAATATTAAGCTGATGAATTCTTCTCCTCTTTCCTCTCTGATATGAAAGGGTATTTAGACCGTAACAACCGTCTGTCCTATCTTCTGAGTTCATGTATCATATAGCTCTCCTATATACAGTAAATGTTAAAATAAACCTGTGTAACTTTTTTCTTATTAATATTTCTATCATAAGTTATTTTCAATGAGCCCTAGAGGAGGAAGGAATTTCCTTCCCAATAAAAATACATTACTGACAAAAAAATAACTTGACTTGTGAAAAATAATTAAAACAATAAATTTTATAGAGCGTAAATGGTAATAAATAAAGACTTGGTAGGAAAGAAGAAATAAAGGGTTAAATAAATTAAAATCTACATTTATATAAGAGAAATAATTTACAATGTTCTATACTAAAATAGAGTAGCAACAGTTAGCAAAAACTTATTATACTTTCAGAATAGTTAACAGAGGTTTTGTTTATTCACAACAAAAAGTAGTGAAAAATGTTTGATGGTCTAGATATGCTGATTACCTTCATTAGATCAAAAGGTTAACTTTTATTTCTGTGTTAAAAAAAAATCACACTGTTCCCCATAAATATGTACTGTAATTATGTATAAATAAAAAACTTCCAAATATTTCATTATTAGGAAAATAGAACATGTGATACTAGGCACAATATTTTAAAAATAAAAAATATTTTATACTTTATAGGTTTTTATTTAGTGTTCACTCACAAATAATCAAATTTTTAAGCAAGAAATATGGTATGTAAATTTTTCTTATAAGGATGCATTTATTAGATCTATGAAGTGACTCCATACTAAATGGCTACTTCTGTTCAAAAAGTTATTGAACATAAACTTCATGTGTGTGTATGTGTATATGTGTTATTAATATACAATTTCATAATTCAATACAATTTGGTTGGTTATTATTTTATTGTAGGTTTTACATGTTTATTAATTAACTCAGGAGATGTGATAAAATATAACCATGTACTCAGAAAATTATCTTTCTTGTTTTCATTTCTATACCTGGAAGAAATCAACAATAAGAAATGAAAAATCATACAACTGTGAAAGAGTTTATTCTTCTGGGATTAACAGATGATCCAAATCTAAATATTCTAATTTTTATATTTCTATTTTTCATATATATATTGATTATAACTGGAAATCTGACAATTATCACCCTCACCCTGATAGATTCACACCTCAAAACACCCATGTATTTCTTTCTTAGGAATTTTTCTTTCCTAGAAATCTCATTCACAACGGTTTCTATTCCTAGATTTCTGGTTAGCATTGTAACAGGGGATAAAACCATTTCCTATAATTCTTGCATGGCCCAGGTGTTTTTCTACATACTCCTTGGTGCAACAGAATTTTTCCTTTTGACGGCCATGTCCTACGATCGCTATGTGGCTATCTGTAAGCCACTGCACTACACGACAATCATGAGCAGCAGAGTCTGCATCCAGCTTGTTCTTAGTTCTTGGGTGACTGGATTTCTCATCATCTTTCCACCTGTCATCATGGGGCTGCAGCTGGATTTCTGTGCTTCCAACATCATTGACCACTTCATTTGTGACTCCTCTCCTATGCTGCTCATCTCCTGCTCAGACACAGCCTTCCTAGAGCTCACGGGATTTTTCATGGCAGTGTTCACTCTCATGGTCACCTTGACCTTAGTGATTCTTTCCTATGCATTAATTCTTAGGACAATCCTGAGAATCCCTTCTGCTGAGCAAAGGAAAAAGGCCTTTTCCACTTGCTCCTCACACCTGATTGTTGTCTCTATTTCTTATGGAAGCTGCATTTTCATGTATGTCAAAACATCAGCTAAAGAAGGAATGGCTTTCTGAGAAATAATACTAACATTATTACATTTCATCACCCACTTAAATATTCAACCCTGTTTTTTCTTCAGGTTTTGATCTCCATTTTTCTCATTTTGACCTCAATTATCCTCCTACAAATACATGCATAGAAAAATTCCTGACCTTTCATTGCTATTGACAGTGTATGTATAACTAAACTGTATTGGTTTACCTTTTAAAAAGACAGTAACAATTCCTTCAGTTTTGTATATTATAAATTATTTTTCCAAAAATTTGTACTTCATTCTAACTCATATTTATTCTTGATTCTTCACTCTCAGCAAGGACCCTGCTCACATCTAAACCAATGGACATTTAATAACAAACATAAACACTTCTATATCTCTTTTTCTGTCTCCCTTTCTGCCTAATCAACATACACGTGGCTTATTTAAGCACCTTTCTCTGATTTTCCTGCAAAGAAGATAAACAATGTATGGGCTCACTTGACATATATTTGGAAAGCTAAATTATTTATTAGTGGAGTGATTTCATTTTCCAATACAAAACAAAAATATATTTAATATATGGTATTATTGACTTTTATATTATGACAATACTTTTTGTAACTCTTCATTCACTGATAATTTAAAAATTGACTCACAGTATATGTTTTTTGAAATAAAACATTTATTTCTGGTTTTCCCCCCACAACCCAGTAACATACAATGCTTAATATACTAATAAGAAACACAATGGCTTAACTGATATTTTAGAAAATAATTATAATAGAAAATTTATTAAATGAAATCTCTTTAGAGAAAAACATACATAGATTTTTTTG